TTTCTCACTAGTTTTCAAGCAAGAATGGGAGGCGTGAGAAGAGGAGGGAAAAGTGGGTTGGAGAGGAAGCGGGACATATGGGGCAAGGCCAATCTCTTTTATGCGTTGTTAAAAAAAATTCAACTTTAACTTAAATTTTTTTTATGACATTATTAGGTTTGGAGTGGAATTTTTTTTGGAGAGAAAATATTAGGACACCCAAATTGCCGAATCACGGAATGAGAATTTTTCTTATGTAAGAAGAAAATAAAAAAAATTCTCAAATCGAGGCCGCTAATTGGTGCTTCGGTTGGTTCGGTCCAAAGAAAAATTCTTGTTTGGTTCTATTTTTGGCTGGTCATATCGATTGATTTTTTACCCGTCGGAATGGTGAATCAAATCCATGCATTCTATATTGTCATGTATTTTATGTTTTTGAACTCTCTTTTTTCCCTTGAAAATCATGTTACAAATTCATGCATTCTATATTGTCATATATTTTATATTTTTGAACTTTTTTTTTGTTTTTGTTTTTTTCATGTTCAACTAGTTCAGTGATGTACGGAAATTTGAATAACAATAGCAAGAAATTAAGTCAAACACAAGAAATAACTTGAAAAAACCTAGGATTTCTTCTTTACTTTAAGCTAGAGTTCCAAAAGCCTAAACCTTTGTTTTCCTTTTCATCTATGAAAATCACACGAAATGATCTCCTCAAGGCCTCACATGGCTCTTACATATTATAATCTAATGTTCAATGCCATCCTAACCTAAATACAATTTTTTTTAATGATAAATTTACCCTTGTGAACATTAATTTGTGAATAATACCCATGAATAGTAGTTGTGAACACTACATGTAAATACACACTAGTGAATACTAAATAAAAATATAAAAAAATTCTAGAATCCCAAAAAAAATTAAAAATCCTAAAACCAAAATTAGAATATAATCCTTTGAAATTTAATAAAATTAAAATAAGAATAATTTTATTCTACATTATTCTTCCGTAGTTGGAGGAAACTCGTAATCAAATTTTGAAGTAGATTAAGATGAATTTCTCTTTTGCGAGCTGAATATACTATGCTTCGAATCCTTGGACTCGTAGTTTATTGGTCCAATCAAAATACAACAATTACGCATTGAGGCTGGGCTTTGAAATCAATTGATATATTCGTATAACTCTTGTGGAATATTTGAAGAAATGGTCACTATATACTGATAGAGTTTGTTTAGCCATATAAGCTTGCTGAAATTGCATCATTAAACAATATAACTTTGTTGAAATTGCTCTGGCTCAAGTGCATCTCTGAGATAAGCATTGGACTCAGATGACTAAACTAATAACTTCACTTATTGACTCATCTTAGGGTCTATTTTTCTCTTCATCAAAGATTTGTTCAACCATGAAATCATTTTCATCATAGTAGGTTGGATGTCCTATAGGATATTGTTCTTCATCTAACTATGTAATAAAGATTGGTGCCAAAATCCCAATTTACAACTTGTTGATTTTCAATACAACTAGAGTCAAAATCAAGAACGTTAGAAAGTCCTCCAAATAAAAACCTCTAGAATAATGCTCTCCACATTTAGGTACTCTATTACTTTCCTCTTTACTTGATTTTTCATGCAAAGTACAAAGGTAAAAGGGGTTATATTAAATATCATCTTGGGCAAAAAAATCACCGTCTTGTCCATGATTGGTTCTTGCAAAATACTGCATTCGTTTTTAACTTGCTTTTAAGTTTTTCAATTAGTAAATTACAAAATCCTCCCTTCCACAACCCTTTCTCGCTGCAATAGGTTTCATCGAAATCACAAAATCTAAGAAAAATAATTAAAAAAAAAAGAAAAAAGAAAAAACCATTGAAATCATTAAGAGCTAGGCTGAATTTGGTAAAACTTGGCCCAAACTCGGTAAACTCTAAGCTTGGCTGGAGTTTCCTGGCTTTGTTGCTTGACAAAACCTAAGCTTTGATACCACTTGATGTAGGAAAATTTCCAGAATAATAAAATCAACAAGAAATTGAGCTAAACACAGGCATTAACTTTAAGAAGCCTAGGGTTTTCTCCTCACCCTAAGCTCAAGTTCCAAAAGTCTAAGTCTTTCTTTCTTTTTCAATTTATGAAAATCATGCAGAAAATACCCCCTTAAGGTCTCATACACCTCTTATATATTGTAGTTTAACGTTTAAAGATATTAAATGACCTCAAAATTCATATTCAATAATTAAATGACTTTAAAAGTCCTAACTTAAACACAAAATTTGTAATGACAATTTTACTTCTTTAAACGACTACTTGTGAACAACACTCATAAATAGTACCCCTAAATAGTACCCTTAAATATTAATCCTTTATTTTATAAGGAATGTTGTTTTGTTAGGAGTTATGAAGAGTTCCTTGAGTTGGAAAGCATCTAACAATTGACCTTAAGGTCAATAATACCTTTTTGAGTAGTTCCCTTATAGGCAGGCAAAGAAGATCCATTTTAGGAGCTGAAGGTATATAGTAATAAATAAAAATATTAAAAACAATTTTAGAATATCTTAGAAACTTAAAAGCCCAAAACATATATCCTCAAATTAGTGTTTTAAAAAACGGCGAGTCGAACTGAACTCGCCCGGTTCGACTCAGGAACCGGTACAGCCTATGTCTGTTCCAGCACAAAACCGGGAACCGCCCGGTTCTAGAGAAGAACCATCGGTTCCCATCCGGTTCTATCCGGTTCAGCTCGGTTCAGTTCGGTTCAGCCCGGTTCACATACGTAACGCATGACACGCACGTGCGAGCGTGCCCCACGCACACTCACACGTACACACGTGTGTCCAAGCATGCGTACGAGTGTGCCCCACGCACACTCACATGTGTACACTTGTGTCCAAGCGCACGTGCAAGCATGCCCCATGCACACTCACGCGTGCACACGTGTGTCCGAGCGCACGCGCGAGCGTGCCCTACGCACACTCACGCATGCCCACGTGTATCCAAGCACGCGTGTGAGGTTGCCCTAATATTTTTGCACACATGTTATAGTTCATATTACATAGGTATTTATATATCAAAGTTGAATACCGATATTTCGATGTGGGATAATTCCCAAACATCATTAAATGAAAACGAAATGTAAATATAGTCTATTAATCAGCAATTTATAATCACATGTAGTTAGATGGCTTGGTGGTTATGATTTTGTTTTTTTACTTGATGTCCCAAGGTCGGATCCCCTTGGGCATGTGTTGCATTTTTGTCGTGTATATAGTCGTTGGTATAAATATAAATATTTTTGTTATGTATATAGTGGTTGGTATAAATATAAATATTTTTGTAAATAATATAAAAGGCAT